ATCGTCATCATTGGTCACTTCTGATTGGCCACGACTAGAAGAAAGTAAAAAAAAAAAACTAATTCGTGAATTTGTTTTTTCATTTTATGTGAAACATGACCATCTCAAGTGTCGCTTGAACGTGAAAGAAGTTTGGATATTATTCATGATGCGTGAAAAGGCCAAAAATTTTTTCGTGACTGAGTTTCATACGGGGGTATTAATACTTTTGGCGATTGGTGTGCGCTTCGTAAACCACAAAATCCGGGCGATTCGAGCTAGAATGAACGAAAAAGCTCAAGGTCATCAAGAATGCAATGCGTGACAGACTTGCTCCAACCCCATTGCCCTCTACTATACGCGCACCACCCCACATGTCAAGTGAAGGGGAACCCCCATCGCATATGGGGCGCCGTTTGTAATTCCGCTGTTAGTCGTTTTTTACGTGATATGTTTTTTTTATTTATGATAATTTCATTTTATCCATTGGTTATTTACTAAAACCAATCTTGCGTTATTTGGTTATTTGATATAACCAATCTTGCGTTAGGTGGTTATTTGATATAACCAATCAATTGGTTATATCAAATAACCAATTTCATAAAATTGATATAACCAATTTTATGAAATTGGTTATTTGATATCACCAATTGATTGGTCATATCAAATAACCACGCAACGCAAGATTGGTTATATCAAATAACCAAATAATGCAAGATTGGTTATATCAAATAACCAAATAACGCAAGATTGGTTTTATTAAATAACCAATGGATAAAATGAAATTATCAAAAATAAAAAAACATATCATGTAAAAATCGACCAAAAGCGAAATAATGATAAATTTACAAACGGCGCCCCATAATCGCAGGCTCCGCTGTTAGGCCTTTGTACATTATGCTTTAGTTTCCCCACTAAAATGCTCCACCTTAATGCTCCATTTTTACCACTAAAATGCTCGGTCTAACTAGGGATTGAAGTGGCAACGGGGTGAGGACAAGTAATTAATAAGCAGTAGCAATGTACACTATTTCTTCGTTTAAGAATTTGCGTACAAACCGTTGACAACTTTTGTGCCTCGAGTTGCTGTTAAATTGTTGCCGAGAACAGCCCTTGAGATAGGTCGCATCACTTAAAACGGATTGGTGCGGCCTTCCTTCGTTGTAGCCGAAATGTGCAGTAAAAAATTTGCCAAAATTAAAGAAGTTCTGCTTCCTTGTACGCTTGCCTGGAGCAATCATTCGTTGATTGAGGCAGAAAAGTGCGCCTTTTATGAGTTCATACGTCGCTTTTTTCATAGTAACAAAGTAATAAAGATATTTATTCAGTGCCAGTATTCTAATGTTCAAAGGCGCTTTATGATATTAACTACACGCATATCTGCGTGAACTCGGGCTTCACTATCGCACATCTCGAGTTATCTCTAGGGGACTGCCACATTGCCATCGTTACGAACATCACGCAATTTCATCATTGCCGGTCACGAATAAGTCTACTTGTGTTTATTTTTGTCTGCTGGAGTGTAATGAATGTTATTATGGTACTAGACAACAATCAAAAGAATATATTACCATATAGGAGTAAGTTCCTTTAGATGCCAAAGGTTGAAATTCAAGGACTTTTCAATGACTTTAATGAGGATGCCAACGATGTGTGACTTTCTATGTATACTGAGCGTAATAGAATTTCTTTCGCGTACATTAGTCCAAGAAGGCAGCCATTGCTTTACCATGCGCTCTAGAGTTCATTCTACGCATGTGCATACATTTCACGCATGCGCCGTTGCGGAACTGCGTTTTGTGAACGAACGCAAAAAAAAAAACAAACAAAAAACAAAAACAAACAAACAAAAAAAAAAACAAAGCCGAATTTATACCTCGGGCGTTTAAAAAGAGTAAAAAAGATTTGAAAAGGCTGTAAGCGAGCAACAGACCTGCACCTGATCCACTTTTCAGCCAAAACCCTTCCAGCCTAAACTTGTAGACAACACATCTCTTTTCTTTCAAAAGCTTGGTTTATCAGGAATGACAAGAATATTAACAATATTTAACCAAGGTCACTTAAATACTGATGTGCGGTACATGAGAAAGTGAAATATCTGCGAAGACTCCGAGATAATTGAATTGATAAATGACATTAATGATTAGTTCTGTCACGGAAACAGATGTTTAAACAGAACGATAAGTCGCATTCTTTACTTTTAAAGCTTTCTGCCATGACCTTGAGATGATTTCTTGGTTATTCACATCTCTCGTTTCCTTTGCTGTTTGAATTCCTGTGATTTCGAAAGTGGCAGAGAGTCCGGTTCTATCTTATATCACAGTTTCACGGTAGGATTGGTCCTCTCCCGTCTGTTCAAGAGATAATTTTGAATAAAAGAATGCCATATTAGCACGATTTACCAATTTCTCACGATCCAGTTTTTCCTGTCACGATGTTTGAAAAATTTTTTAATTGGTTGATTGATTGATTGTTTGATTGATAGATAACTAGAAATCTCTTTTCTTCCCTTTACTGCATACTGTGCGTAAATATTTGGGAGAATTATGTGCGTTCATTGAGGCTAGGGGCAGCTGCACACAGGCTAGGTTTCGGGCCTCAACTCTCAGACTTAGTTTTACTTCAGCGCTGCACTGGTTTGGGAGTGATTAACTCAGAAAAAACTTCATATTTTTCCATGAAATCGTTGTGGCAATTGTGCCTCAACTCAAGATCAATCGTAAGATCTAAATATTCTCCACATTGTCTGCCATACATTCTTATATCCGTATTTGTGCACGATCCTCGCAGTAAAGAGCACTATTTAAGCAATAGTGAAAATCAGACCTGAAAAAATTCAGGCCTGTACGGGATTCGAACCACTAAACTCTGCAATACAAGTGCAGCGCTCTTCCAATTGAGCTAACAAGCCAACTGGGAACAGGTCATCAATTTAATTTGACAGAAAATCAAATATATGAATTTTATATATTTGTTGTGTTTGATTTATCATCCTACGGGTTTATGTCGAATTAATTTGATGATCTGGGACCCGTTTCTCGAAAGTCCCGCTAACTTAACGGGCCCTTAAAGCTGTTCTGTTTTCTTTCAAGATGGGAATTTCAAAAGTTTTGAAAATGATACAATAAAAATATCAGCTAAAGAAACAAAAAGGACTGGTTTGGATGTCATAACCTGCTTTCCCATCTCTTAAATTTTTATTTTAAAAGATGGCTTCGGGCCCGTTAAGTTACCGGGACTTTCGAGAAACGGGTCCCTTCTGCCAGTTGGCTTGTTAACTCTGCACTAGCATCGCAAAGGTCAGTGTTTCGAATCCCGTAAAGGCCTGAATTTTTTCAGGTCTGATTTTCACTATTGCTTAAATAGTGCCCTTTACTGCGAGGATCGTGCACAATTACGTTTCTATAACCGTAGTTCAGATATATGAATTTCATATATTAGTTATGATCCTTATATCCTCAGTTTTGAGAATTTGGTGTTGAATCGAACAAAATCCTCTAGTCGATCGTTTCCTTTCTTCTAAACGCCTTTCTGCTTGAAAATATATTTAAAAGGAATTCTTTGGAGAAACTATCAGACAACAAGCAAGTCAAGCCGGTAACGAACTTTCAAGCTCAAGATTTGTTTCCGACGACGTTGAACTGCGGTTAATATTCACTTCCTGTGTTTCCGAGAATCTGGCTGTCAGTTTTCTGGGAATTCCGGGGATCGACGAAATCAATCCCTGTTTATCAGTTCTAGATTAGTTTTCGATCGCAAATATCAGCGAGTTAAAAATGAACACTTGGTCGCTCATGCTTGGTCTAGTGGTGATCTTTCGTTACATTTGTGGTGTCTGTGGAGCCTGTCGCGATGATTCCGAGTGCGTGAATGGCATATGTTGCTCGGGATATTGCTTTTGGGATGTTCAGTGCCCACGCTTATGTGCCAGAGACGCAGATTGCTCACGTGGCGAGGAATGCAAAGATTTGCTTTGTGGCCGACAAACACAGCCCTCCAAGGTTACGTTTTACTCTCTTACTGACATCATCTCCACTGAAAAACCGTACACACCTCCTTTCGTATCGAATAGTTACAACAACAAGAACAACAACAACTGTGTTTCGGATGGTAATTGCGAAGAAAGTGAAGCTTGTCAAGAAGGCAAATGTGTACTCGTCGACAATCTCGAATCTACGGGAAAACGAAAGGGAAATAGAGGACTTATCATAACTATAATCGTCTTTGGAGTAGTAGCAACAGTTATTTCAATTCTCTATTTCTTGCGCGAAAGGAAGGTCAAACAGCATGTGCTAGTGCCTCGAAGCAATCGAAGGGCAGTCAATGGAGAGGGTACAAGGATAAATGGAACATCTAATCGAGCGGAAATTGACACCCCCACGGCAGCTTGTAATGGTGCAGCCTTAATTGAGATAGAAAGAGTTTCATATACTCAGCGATCAAATGTTCCTCCACGATATATTTCACTGTGAAATTTGAGAGACAACGAGACAAACTTGACAAAAACAGTGAACAACTGGCCTGTAAAATGAAGCATTGTATTGGTTTCAGCCTGAGCGCCAAGGAGAGATGTATATATATATTTATAGACATTTTAAGTTTAAATTTGTTTTCTTAGACCATACAAACTTAAGTGTCTGGAATAAACCACTGTTTCATCGATGGATGTTATGCAATATAGTCTGCTCCAAGAATGACTAGACTGCCTTCCTCAAGGTGTATAGAATTTTTCAGCTTGACCAGCCCGATGCAAGGTTGAGTTTCTCTTTATAGATTTGTATACAGAGAGACGAAATTAAACTTTAAGTAGTATATATTTTTGTTGCATTGAGCGTGATTTCAGGCCCTCAGGCTACTAGACGTAATCGCTCGCTCACCTTGAAGTGGTTAATTACAATAAATTATAAAGGTAGACTTATTAACCATGACTGCTGTTAGCAAACTGCCACGCTGTTAGCAAACTGTACGGTCACGCAACGATGAAACATAAAAACATGGGTGGTGCAAAGTCCATGACCGAGGTCAGAGTCTATAGGACTTGGAAATTTAGGAAATGTCGTTAGTTTAATCGTTCTCACTGTTGTAGATGAACTATCTTTTTTTTTTTACTCAAAATTTACTCTCATTTAAACGCTTAGACTCCCCTAGAAATTAAACTGGTTATCGCAATCGCGTGCCATTTGCGAGACGTGACGTTTATTTCAGAAAACTTCTAAACAATAACGTAAGAATAGGCATTGTTTATCGTAAAAACAAGGCTTACGTTACATTACAGCAAATCTGGTGATATTCATAACAAACGCCTGCCTTCGGTCCATTTTTGTGTGGGTGCACTGATAGAGTCATCCAATCTCCGCTGTGGATGAAAGCCAAAGATCTATTTCTGGTAAATTAGATGAAATTCGAACCCTCGCGTGCCTGAAATTTTTTATTCTATCCATTGTGGTGATTTACAGAAGATTCTTCCTTTACTTTCAATGGCAATGAAGAAATATTACGGGCTTAATTTGATTTTGGTTCTTTCTGTTAGTTTTTTTGAGGAAATTTCTTGCTCGAAATGTTCAAAACACTCCGACTGTATGAAAGGTCAGATTTGCTGTGTGAGTGACTGTCGTGCGGAAAAAGATTGTTGGTGTATAACAGACAAACAATGTGGTGCAGGAGAGATTTGCCAAAATTCTCTTTGTATGCCGACTCCAAACTCTCACGCTACTGTCAAACCCTGTTCTGTCGACGGCGATTGTACTGATAGACGCCGGGACAAATCAATGTGTTGCCGAGACGGAAGATGTTCCACAACATGTTCCACAACAACTTCAACCTCACCTTCAACTTTAGGACCTACTCGTCGTTTGCCGTGTAGAAATTCGAGGGACTGCTTTGATGGAGAAGACTGCATTGGCGGAAATTGCGAAAACACCTCAAATATCATGTTAACAAAGGCGGGATTCCTATCCGCTGCCATATTAACCGGATCAGTTTTCCTTTTAATACTCTGTTGTTGTTTTGTTCGAGAAAGCAAGTACGGTAGACAGAGGGCCAATCGTCAACGTCGGCGATCAAGAAGGCGAAGTAGTCGCGGGAGGCGACGGTCTTCTCATCATACGCGCTCTAGATCTGGAACTACAGAGTTACGCTCAACAGCTATAGAAAATAGGGCGTTTAGTTTAGAAGACTGTCACTCTTGCGAAGAAGGGCTGGCTATACCACCCCCTGAATATTCTAGTGAGCGAACTGAAAACACGATTCATGACTATGGTGAACCATTACCTCCGTCACCACCTCCTTATTGTACCCTGTCGTTTTCTGATCTCCCTCCGACGTACGAAGAGGTCCTTCAAACTGACGAGCAAAGGGGCTCCCCAACTGAAGTTGCTTAGGAAGCCGACACTCCTTGTCAGTTCGTTTATAGGACAAGTGCAGACACATGAAAAGGGGTTCGTGTACTGCCGAGCTCATGACAGAAAAGTTTGAATGAGGCAAGGCTTAATGCGCTAATGGGCTACTGTGTCAGTATTAGCAAACAAGTGTGCCTGGTAAGCCATTTGCGGTAGTTCTCCGAATGATGTTTTGTTAAAGGTAAATCATAGATACAGACCAGACTTGGCAAAATTGTGGACAGATTTTAATAGGCCACCCAATTGGTTGTGAACCCCCTTTAAGTTCCAGGAGTCTTCATTCTGCTTCTGTAATCTCCACAAGAGTCACTTAAGCAAAAAAGTGTTTTTTAGTATGAAGAAATGCTGAGATGTGGCGTTAATGATTGGACCCTTTCTTGGTAGATTCTCTGGATCTACTCTTAAAAATTCAGACTAATCAGCCCAACAATTGCTGGGTAGAGTGCTGCACCTTTTCACTTTTCAGTCATGGTTGTTTCTGAATGGGGATCACCTAACTAGTTACCTTTTGGCTCAAATAGTAATGATCTGCATTAAGGAGCAGACCCATGCCCTCTTTGATAACAACAGTGGTGGAGGCTGCTTAATCTGCTATGAATTGGAAATACCATCAAAAATCTAAATATTTGTTTAATGACATAAGTGCATCGTACCCTCGCCCTTTTCGAAACAGTCCTGGTATTTCTCAACTTCTAGTTACATTGTTTGTTTTTCCAACAGTCCTGGTATTTTACAACTTCTAGCTACATTCAATTTGTTAAATTTTTCATCCTACACTCCCCAACATCCATGAAATAGAGAGGGTTGTTCAGAAGCTCACAAAACATTAGTGTACCTCTGTGTTTGAATAGTCTGATAGCAGTGTATAAATTAACACAAGAGAATGTGGTCTAGCAAAGGTCTGTGGAGTATTTGTAATTGGACACTCCAACAGGGACATATCTTGAAAATACAGAAAGTATATTCAGCTTTAAAAAGGTGTTTGAACTCTTTTTTATCGCCCATATGTTAAAGGCACCTTACCTCTCCCCCCGTCCCCCTCTCCATATCAAGACATTTGTCATCAAATAGGTAACAAGAAAGAACAAGAAAGAACAGATGCCCAAGGGCTGCTTTCTTGATATAAAGCCAAATTCTCTCAACCTTTTTGCAAGGAATTTTACTGTAACCAGAGGGAATTACTAATAACGGATTTTGGGGCTACTGGTAAAGGGTTAGGGAGTTGTATTGCATAGCAGAAGTGCACACTGTCACTCAGCACCTTGAAATATTAGGATCAAATGGTACAAACAGCAGGCATTTTCTAAGTACTGCTGGTGTTATGTTTCAAATAATGGACTTTTGATAACTTTGGAAATTGTGCAAACTGCCTTTTCACTTGTATATATTTTCAGTTAAAAAAAAAAAAAAAATAGTAACTTCTAATTTGATCTATTTTTGTTGCTCAGAGGTATGAAAAGAGCTTTGAAAGAGTAATAAAACCAGGATGGAATTAACTGGTAATGATTTTACACCCCTCACTATTCAACCTTACATTTGGGCTTACTATGTGATAAAGCAAGTATGCAGAAACAAATGACCTGATCACCCAGAATTTACTGGACCTAAAGCAAACCATCTAGCCTCCTGTATGACTCAAGATCATTCCCTCAAATACTTTCAAAGGAGCTACCTCACAAGTTGTGCATCTTGAAAAACTTGGCCTGATTTTTCAAGGTTGTTATTCATAATTATTAAATAGGTCCAAATATGACCAAGCATGAGGTCACGATGGTTGGACATTTGCAGAGTTCTCTCTTTGCATTTTTATAGAAGTCAAGGTCCATTAAAGCACATTAACATAACAAGGCTAATATCCAGCCATCTTGAACTAACAAGCTTGGTCAATAAGGAATTTATAATAATTATTGCCAAAAAGATTTGCTTTTTTCTGAATCAAGCATGACTTGGTTATTTTGGGAGTCAGGAAAGAGGGCCAACTATGTTTGTGGCACAATAAAAACAGAGTTGTTTATGTTTTCTTTGTTATCACCAACACTGTCCAAAAATTACCAACTCTGTGAGTTTTTCTT